CGCTACCGCTTGAGCCACATCCCCAGCCCAACTAAAATGTTTTTATTAGCTTACATTCATAGTGGTCAGTAAAAGTGGATAGATAAAATGGAAAAATGAGTTGTAATGCCTAGACATTAGTTTACTTAATTTCACAAAACTTTTCTGATTAGGGAATATATTCATACGATTCCAAATTTAAGAGGTATAAAAGGATATACAATGAAAAGTCTTTCCCTACCCTTGACCCTCAGAAACTCATCTCTTTTAGTGAAAACCAGTCTTATTATCTGACAGCTATTGTTATCTGGCTCTTATATACCCTCAAGATATGTTTTATGCTCACAGAAGCAAATTCAGAATTATTCCCTCAGCACAAATACTGTATCCTTTTAAAAGTTCTGCAGGGCAGTGTTATTTTTCAACTGGAGATGGAAATCTTGGTGTTTTTTTTTTTTTTTTTTTTTTTTTAATAACCCAGGGTTGCTTTACCACTGAGCCTGAGCCACCTCTCCATCCCTTTTTATTTTTTATTTTGAGACAGGGTCTCCCTAAGATGCTTAGGATTTTTTTAAGTTGTGGAGGCTGGACTCGAACTTTTAATCCTCCTGCTTCAGCCTCCCAAGATGCTGGGGTTATAGGTGTGCACTACCACGCCCAGTGGAAACTTGTTTTGAAGAGTGCGTAACTCCCCTTGTGATAACTGGCCATCAGAGAAACCAGAGACCCAGAATTGAACTTGCTGACTTGGTATGGTTCAGAGATTACAAGTAAGAAACAAGGAGTCCTGATGCTTCAATAACAACGAGAGAGAATTGTGAAAGAGAGCAGTGTTAGGGTAATGTGGTGGATACAGAATAAAAACAGTTGCTTCTCCAGAGACACCTGCACAGGGAGTTGGCTTAGGCCAGTTAATAGGGAGTCACTTCTATCTTCTTGCTCAAGTGTTGCTGTGCTTTTCTGATGGCTTGTGTGATCTGTGACTTGAGCTGCATCTCACATACTTTTGAACGCTGGGCCGGGCAGTTGGCAGGTGGTTGCCTGGTCTGAGAGATGTTGCATTGGCATGCATTATTAGAGGTGTGTTAGTATGCACTCTGTGTGCTGCAGATTGCTCCTTCTTACAGGCTGCTCCTGGGGAATTGCCAGACCTTCATTTTCCCATTCAAAGATAACCACATGCTTATTAAAGAGAATTCGGAAAATATGGAAATGTTGAAAGAGAAGGGCAAATCATCTGTTCTCCCATCACTTAAAGTGGGCCACTACTGAAGTTTTGATGTGCGTCTTATTTTTTATATAATTGTGATTGCATGTAGTCATTCAGTTTTTTAAAAAAAATTTTAATATTTATTGTTTAGTTTTCGGTGGACACAACATCTTTATTTTATTTTATTTTTTAATTTTTATGTGGTGCTGAGGATCGAACCCAGCGCACCCGCGCATGCCAGGCAAGTGTGCTACCGCTTGAGCCACATCCCCAGCCCCATCATTCAGTTTTTTGAAAAAATATTTTTAGTTGTCAATGAACCTTTATTTATATGCGGTGCTGAGAATCCAACCCAATGCCTCACACATGCGAGACAAGTGCTCTACCACTGAGCTACAACCCCAGCCCCTAGTCATTTGATTTTATAAACTGCCTTTTCACTTATGAGCATTTTACATGTCATTTAAATGTCATTTTAAAAGATGGGCTAGCATGGCAGGACTGGTTTTTTTTTTTGGCACTGGGAATTGAACTCAGGGACATTTGACCACTGAGCCCCTTCCCAGCCCTATTTTGAATTTTATTTAGAGACAGGGTCTCACTGAGTTGCTTAGCTCCTTGCTTTTGCTGAGGCTGGCTTTGAACTTGTGATCCTCCTGCCTCAGCCTCCCRAGCTGCTGGGATTATGGCTATGCACCACTGTGCCCTACCTAATTTATTTATTTTTAATTTTTGGTACCAGGGATTGAACCCAGGACACATAACCACTGAGMAACATTCCCAAACCTTTTTATTTTGAGATAAGGTCTCACTTAGTTGCTGAGGCTGGCTTTGAACTTGGGATGCTCCTGCCTCAGCCTCCCAAATCTCTGGGATTATAGACAGGCACCACCATGCCCTGCAACTCTATTGTTTTTTAAAACACCAGGCAGGCAGGGCAAGGTGGTGCACATGTGTAATCCCAGCAGTTCAGGAGGCTGAGGCAGGAAGATTGCAAGTTCAAAGCTAGCCTCACAGCTTTGTGAGAATCTGTCTCAAAATAAAAAGAGCTAGGAATATAGCTCAGTGGTAGAGTGCCCCATGGGTTCTATCCCCAGTACTGGGGGTGGGATGGGAGATTTTCAGGTGGAGGTCTGGGGTTTAGCTTGGTGCTGGAGACCTGCCTAGTATGTGCAAAGCTCTGGATTCCATGCCAGCACCACACTTCCAAAAAAAGTTTCAGATGGAATTTGACCAGTTTGTGACCTCTGACCTAGACTCTCCATGGAAATCAGTAGTTAACTGAGAACCCAATCCACTCCTAGTTCTAGACTTTGAAGTGAGACTCCATGAAAACAAGCAAAAGCAAGGTTGTCTGAATCCAAACAAGAAAGAGCTGGTGGCTGCCATGAGAATGGGGAGCTGATCTCAGCAGACAAAAGAGATGAGGCTGCGGAAGAGCTCAGCTTTTCAAGGATAATAGCCATTCAGATAGTGGGTGTTAACATTCAGTGACAGGTTCTAGCAGAAAAGGTATTCAGGAAGCAGGTGATGAGCACTGACCTGTGGTTCCTTCTTTCCTGGCAACACTGTGAGTTCCTTTAAAGATTTATCACTCTGTAATTAGATCCACTAGAAGAGAATAAAGAAGGTAATAAAGAAAGAGTATCAGGGCGTCCTTCCAAGAAAACCGTCTCCTTTGAGGAGGACCCAGAACAAGACTGTAAGTCCTGATGGCAGGAAATTAAATTAGTCCATCTTCCTGAAATAATACATCAATAATACACGACTCCACTCCTTCGGGTGAGTCAGAAAAGAATGAATTCTATGTTCAGAGTTGGGGAGATTTAATTAAGAGGACTCTTGCTTTAGKAATTCCTTCCTTTTTAAGGGCTTTGAAGATTAATGTAGGTCATTATCATTCCTTTGTTTCTTATCATTTTGGAGAGCTTAAAAATAATGGAGCTGTACAAAGCAGCCTAGCCTCTAGGTTAGCTTGCTGAAGGTTTTTTTGAAAAGCAGGCTTGGGGCCACATTGCTTTGATGGTAAATGTTGGTGGCTTTGCTCCTCAGGGCTGTGTGGTGAGAAGAATCATCCCTCCCTGCCATTGAATTTCTCTCACTCTACCAAGGCTAGAGTCTTGTCCGGCTTCCCACCACCACATCTGAGGCCTCCCCAAGGGAGCCTCGCGGGACTGGGGTTCTCACTCTGCACCCAGACCAGCTTTGGCTGGCATCTGTTGAAATGAAAGGAGAGACAGACCAGGCCACGGGATTGACACAGCCAGGGCTTGGGAACTGTTCCCCTAGAAATGAAAAGGAGACACTAGAAACTGGCCATTCTGGCATCTGACTCTTCCTTCCCATCTGGCAAAATTCTTTTTTTTCCTTTTTTTGATTTTTTAATTGTAGATTGACACAATACCTTTATTTAATCTCTAATTGAGATCCTCCTTCCTCAGTCTCCTGAGGCACTAGGATGACAGGCTTGCGCCACTGGGCCTGGCATTAAATAAATATTTCTAATGATATTGTGTGCATATCAAGCATGCAACATGCACATATCCCGCCCCTTTTTAATATATATTTACTTATTTGTTCTTCTTAGTAGACTTTATTTTTAGAGCAATTTTGGGATCCAGCACGTCAGAACGGAAGGTACAGAGATTTGCGCATACGCCCCACCCCRATGCCGCATGACCTCCCTTGTTACTAGCATCTCCCAGCAGAGTGGTGCGTTTTTTAGAACCGAGGAACCTGTGTTGCTATGTCATTATCACCCAAAGTCCCTCATTTATAACAGGGTTTGTTTGGCAAACCTCTTCGCATACTGTGTATACAGTACCTACTCTTCCTCACCTGCTTTTTAACAACATGTCTGGGCACAGGATTGTGTGTAGATTACCCCATTCTTATTAATAACTGCACAGGATTCCACTGTATGTATGTGTATATATGTACGTTTATATATAGGCATATATATATTATATATATATATACACACATATATATACATATATATATATATATACACATATATATATATATAATATATATATTGAATTTGATCAGTCCTCTCTTGATGAGAGTTTAAATTTTCCACTACCTATTGTTACCACAAAGATGTCATGACAGGGCTGGGGCTGGGGCTCACTGGTACAGCGCTTGCCTGGCATGTGTGAGGCACTGGGTTTGATCCTCAGCACCACATAGAAATAAATAAAATAAAGGTATTCTGTCCATCTAAAACTAACTAAAAATATTTTTTAAAAAGATGCCATGACAGACAGCCTAGTATATGTTCTCTGTACAAGACATACATCTGAAAGATAAGTTCTCAGAAATATAACTGCTAGGTCAAAGGTTTGTGCATTTTAAATTGTGATAGTTTTAAATTGCTTTCCTTAGAGGTTTAGTAGTTCGGCAGGGTATAAGATCATCCAGGCTTTTAAAAGGTTTCCAGCTGCCTTGACCTGCAGTTAAGATTAAGTGTAGATTCAGGGGAGGGCACACTAGTTAACAGGATTGTCTTTCACTTCTGAAGCTGKTTAAGATCCCATGAGGAAGTGCCCGTGTGGTGAGTTACTTGCACACAGCCATCTGGTGGCAAGGTGGAGATGGCCTGTATGTGTCAGCCTCTGATGGCAGCTGTACTGTACTCACTCACTTTTGCTTTTTTCCTAGGACCTTAGCATCCTGAGACATTTTGGATTTATAGCCCTCAAGACTGACGCAGACAGAGCTCATCATGTCAAAGTTAAAAAGCTCAGAGTCGGTCCGGGTGGTGGTTCGCTGTCGGCCCATGAATGGCAAGGAAAAGGCCGCTTCCTACGACAAGGTGGTGGACGTGGATGTGAAGCTGGGGCAGGTGTCTGTGAAGAACCCTAAAGGCACAACCCATGAAATGCCCAAGACCTTCACCTTTGATGCAGTCTATGACTGGAACGCCAAGCAGTTTGAACTCTATGACGAGACGTTCCGACCTCTCGTGGACTCTGTTCTGCAAGGTTTCAATGGGACAATTTTTGCCTATGGACAAACTGGGACTGGGAAAACCTACACTATGGAAGGAGTCCGAGGTGACCCTGAAAAACGAGGTGTCATTCCCAACTCATTTGACCACATCTTCACCCACATCTCTCGCTCGCAGAATCAGCAGTACCTCGTCAGGGCTTCCTACTTAGAGATCTACCAGGAGGAGATCCGAGACCTGCTCTCAAAGGACCAGACCAAACGGCTCGAGCTCAAAGAGAGGCCTGACACGGGAGTGTATGTGAAGGACTTGTCTTCCTTTGTCACCAAGAGTGTGAAGGAGATAGAGCACGTGATGAACGTGGGGAACCAGAACCGCTCCGTTGGGGCCACCAACATGAATGAGCACAGCTCGCGTTCCCACGCCATCTTTGTCATCACCATCGAATGCAGCGAGGTGGGCCTCGATGGTGAGAACCACATCCGGGTGGGGAAGCTGAACCTGGTGGATCTTGCTGGCAGCGAACGGCAAGCCAAGACCGGGGCACAAGGGGAGAGACTGAAGGAGGCAACAAAGATCAACCTCTCCCTGTCAGCCCTGGGTAACGTCATCTCTGCCCTGGTGGATGGGAAAAGCACTCACATTCCCTATCGAGACTCAAAGCTTACCAGACTCCTCCAAGATTCCCTGGGTGGCAACGCCAAGACTGTGATGGTAGCCAACGTGGGACCTGCCTCATACAATGTGGAAGAGACTCTGACCACCTTGAGATATGCCAACCGTGCCAAAAACATTAAGAATAAGCCAAGGGTCAATGAGGACCCAAAGGATGCCCTCCTTCGAGAATTTCAGGAAGAAATTGCTCGGCTCAAGGCCCAGCTGGAAAAGCGCTCCATTGGCAGGAGGAAGCGGCGAGAGAAGCGGAGGGAAGGTGGTGGCAGTGGTGGGGGTGGGGAAGAGGAGGAGGAGGAGGGAGAAGAGGGTGAGGAGGAAGGGGATGATAAGGATGATTACTGGAGGGAGCAGCAAGAAAAACTGGAGATTGAGAAGCGGGCCATTGTGGAAGACCACAGCTTGGTTGCAGAGGAGAAGATGAGACTGCTGAAGGAGAAGGAGAAAAAGATGGAGGACCTGCGGCGGGAAAAGGATGCTGCTGAGATGCTGGGTGCCAAAATCAAGGTATCATGCCCTTCTTTCGGCCATTTCCCCCATCAGTKCCTTTTCTTTTATCACAAAAATGATACAAGGGCTGACCATGGTGGTGCCTGCCTGTAATCCTAGCTACTGGGGAGGCTAAGGCAGGAGGACCCAAGTTTGAGGCCATCCTGGACAAAATAGCAAGACCCTATGTTGAAATACAAAGGGCTGGGGGAGTAGCTCAGTAGTAGAGCACTTGCCCAGCATGCATGACACCCTGGGTTCCATCCCTCATACCACAAAAACAAAAAACTCAAGATGACGTATTTTTTGGTTTTTCCATTTCCAATAGCTCCATGATATTGGTGCTCAATAAATTTTGTTGAATCACTATGAACAGAAAAACTTTTCAAATTAAAAATTGGATTMATAATAATAATTATCACCTATATGTACAGTATAAAGGACGGCAATAAAACTGATAGCCGTGTATCCCCCAGGCCCAGTATAAGAAATAGAACAGCAGCTGCCAGATGTGGTGGTGTAGGCCTGTAATCCTAGCAGTTTGGGAGGCTGAGAGAGGAGGATCACAAGTTCAAAGCCAGCCTCAACTTAGCAAGGCCCTAAGCAGCTGTCTCTAAATAAAACACAAATAAGGGCTGGGGATGTGGCTCAGTGGTTAAGTACCCCCGGGATCAATCCCTGGTACAAAAAAAAAAAAAAAGGAACAGCAGCTGAATCTTTAGAAATTCCTCCGAAAGGAATGTCCCCCTACCCCAGAGTAACCATCATCCTGAATTTGATTCTTATTGTTCTTTTGCTTTTCTTTCGAGTCCTTCCATATATGTATTTCTCTCTAAATATAATACAGGTCAGTTTCATGTGATTTCTTTTGTATAAGTGAGCTGCCTGCATTTTACTTTTATTTGCCCAGCATTCTGTTCATGACATGAGTCTGTATTGATGCCTGTAACTGTGATTCATTCATTATTACTGTTCGGAGTATTCTGTGGCATTCCATTCTCCTAACAGTGTGGGTTGTTTCCATTTTCTGCTATGACCAACCATTTATTCTTGGCTCCAGGAGGATGTGTATGTGCAAGTTTCTTGTCTGGCACTTTTAGATCTTAGAGTACGTGCTGCTCCTACTTCACTAGATGAGAACAAGTGGTTTTCTAAAGTGACTGTGCAAGCTCTAGTTGATCCCCTTCCTTGCCGACCCTTGTGATGATCAGACTCACACTTGTGTGCCTAGTGGGAATACAGGGGTATCTCACTGTACGTTTTAGGCTTCAGGACCCTGGTTCTAAAGACAGAACACAATCCATCCTCGCTAGGATTTCCTCTTGCTGGTCCTTTGCAGTCATCCCCTTTTCTAACCTGACCCAGTCATCAGTATACTTCCTGATGTCTACCTCGACTTCCCTAGGTGGCTGAGCAGTATTCTAGAGTGTGGAGGCTTCTGACATTCTGTGTCTTCTTTCTGGAGGGAGGATGCTGTTCCCTTAGGTGCCTGGCCTCTGGGCCACCACTTGGCTATAGTGGCAAGGAGAGTGCAAAAGTAGCCCTAGAGGTCCGAGATGGCCACTGGCTGACCCCAAGCTGGGATTCCCTTGAAGGGTAGGGTTCTTTCTTATTGAATTTATGCAGACTTTGGTTTCTGCCTAGAAGGAAATATGTTCAAATTATCATTATAAAAATGGTAAGTTTTCTCTCTCTCTTTTTTTTTTCTTCATGAGCATATATTATTAGGAAGATAATCAACCATTACAAATGCACTCTTAAATAGGAAACATTCTCTACTGCTAGAAGTAGTGCAGTAGAAGTAGATCTTACATTTTCATTAGACAGGCTTGGCTGGAATCCCAACTTTGCCCTCAGAGCTTTGGGTTCTAAGGCAGTTTGCCTATTTTTTTTCCATTTTTTAAAATTTGTTTTAATTAGTTACACATGACAGTACAATGATCTTGACATATCATACATTTGAATCAGATGGGGTATAATTTCTCATTTTTCTGAGTGTACAGGTTGCAGAATCACATTGGTCATGCAGTCATGTATCTACCCACAGTAATCATAATGTCTGTTTTATTCTGCTGTCCTTCCATTCCCCCCTTCCTCTCCCCTCCCCTCCCATCACTTCTCTCTACCCAATCTATTATGACACACTTCTTTTTTTTTTCCCCTCACATCTTCATACCTGTATTCTGTATAACGAAGGGGGTCTCCTTCCCTCTTCCATGCAATTCCCCTTCTCCCTCCCTTTCCTTCCCATCTCTCTTCCCTATCTAGAGGTAATTTTCTTCTCATGCTCTTCCTCCCTACCCCATTTTGAGTCACCCCCCTTATATCAGAGAAGACATTCAGCATTTGGTTTTTTGGGATTGGCTAACTTCACTTAGCATAATATGCTCTAGTGCCATCCATTTCCCTGCAAATGCCATGATCTTGTTATTTTTTAGTGCTGAGTAATATTCTATTGTGTATAAATGCCACATTTTTAATCCATTCATCCATTGAAGGGCATCTAGGTTGGCTCCACAATCTAGCTATTGTGAATTGTGCTGCTAAAAACATTGATGTGGCTGTGTCCCTGTAGTGAGTATAGTCCGAGAAGAGGAATAGCTGGGTCAAATGGTGGTTCCATTCCCAGTTTTCCAAGGAAGCTCCATACTGCTTTCCAAATTAGTTTTCTCTTTCTTGCCTCTCCTCCCCATGGTCTTCAAAGCCATGCTGTTTATCTGTGGCTTCAGAGGAGCCTTTTCACAGAGCTGGTCACTATTTTACTGTAGAGGCAGGGACCTTAAAACCCTGAAAGCCCCTTCCAGGATTTTTCAGACCCCATGTGAAAACAGTCATACACCACACGATTAGGAGGTAAATTTGTTTCAGGGAGGGGCTTACTGTGGGATTCCTTCATGTCAGATGTCACATCTCCCCTCCTCACTTGCTCTGGCAGTGTGACTGGGTGTGCCCACATTGATTTGCACACTGCTCTTCAGAATAACAGGCAGCATTGGGTCTGTKACTCGAGGCCAGGAACAGCTACACTTTAAACTACCTGGGTGTTAGGGGAGCTCTCAGAGACCAAGTCTGGCTAGATTCAGCATTACCTCAAGATCACTGCATTTCTTAGACATTTTATGTATGGAAGAATGATATGACTTCTTTCTCAGTCCCTGGATGCTGAAAACCATGGATATTTATATATTTAATTTTAGAGCTGAAGTGTGTGCGTGTGGGGGTGGGGTGGTAATAATCTAGTCCAGTCTCTTGGTTTTGAGAGAAGAGGAAATGGTCTCAAGAGACATAGTGAAAAATGGCGACAGGACTACACTYAACATTTCTCAGAGGCCAGGTTGTAGCCTGGTGTAGTGGTACATGCCCACAGGCTAAGGCAGGTGGATCACAAGGCCAGCTGGGGCGACCTAGTGAGACCCTRTCTTAAAATAAAAGAATTAAATTAAAAGGGGTTGAGAATGTAGCTCAGTGTGGAGCACCTCTGGGTTCAATCCCCCATACCACACACACAGAAAAAACCAGCCACACAAACAGAAACCCAGGTGGCAGTGTGTTGACATGCATGCTTTACAGGTGCAAGTCACTCTCACGGCCTCAGCCCCCTTCTAAATACTGACACCTCCCAAGGTGGATGTGCGGTCCAGGACTGTCTCCTAACGTCCAGGCCTGGTGGCTTTCTGCCTCCCAGACATCTCTACTGAGCTGCCCTTGGCCACCCAGAGCCAGCTCCTGCCTTCTTACCCCAGTGGTCCCTGGCAGTTTCCTTGCAGCTGTCCCTCTTTCTCTCTCTATGGCCTTGTCGGTCCCACAGCCTGTGACTCCTGCCTCATTGGGTCTCTTGGATCAGCCACTTTGCTGCATCTCACCCCTGCTGCCCACCCTGCACCCTGCAGCAGCCTTCCGTCTGCTCTCCCCATCCAGCCTGCCCCTTCCCGCTCATCATTTTTATTGCAGGGAGTCATTTTTCTAAAACACAAATCTGATTGTGCGCCCTCATGCTCAAAGAACTCAGCAGCGGTTCCCTGACTATATTTAATCCTCAGAATTAAATGTAGTCTCCTTGACAGAGCTTTGAGCAGACCCCCTGCTTGCTTTGCTAACTCTAAGCATCACCGCTCCCTGCCCTACCCTCTCCTATCACAATCTCTCCACTTTTTTTCCCTTTTAGTTTTTACTTCAGCTTTCTGCATAGATTCCCTTCAGACAGGAAGCTTTCCCCAACTTCTTCCAAAAGTCTGAATTCTCACCTGTAATCCCAGTGGCTCAGGAGGCTGAGACTGGAGGATCCTGGGTTCAAAGCCAGCCTCAGCAATGTAACGAGACCCTATCTCAAAATAAAAAAGAAATGGGCTGGGGATGTGGCTCAAGCGGTAGCGTGCTCACCTAGCGTGCGTGCGGCCCGGGTTCGATCCTCAGCACCACATACAAACCAAGATGTTGTGTCCGCCGAGAACTAAGAAAAAATAAATAAATGTTAAAATTCTCTCTCTCTCTGTCCCCCTCACTCTCTCTTTAAAAATAAATAAATAAATAAATAAGAAAAAGGTCTGGGGATGTGGCTCAGTGGTTAAGCACCCCTGGATTCAATTTCTAGTACCAAAATAAATGAATAAATATTTTTTAAAAGTCTGAATTCTCAGGGCTGGGGATATAGCTCAGTTGATAGAGTGCTTGCCTTGCATGCAAAAGGCCCTGGGTTCAATCCCCAGCATCAAAAAAAAAAAAAGTCTAAATTCTCTCTCTTCACTGTTTTTCTTCTATGAATTACTCTGCATGTTCCTCGTGATAGTGTCCCCACCATCTGGTTAAAGCTGGCTTATTTGTCTGTATCCCTCAGTGACTGAACCTTGTAGTTCTCACTGACACTTGCATCCCCAGTATCTGGCACATAGGACACACTTAGCATGTTCTCAGTGGGGTTGATGCTTTGTCTCCACAAGCCAAAAAAGGATATTGTTAAAGAAAGCAGAGGTTCTTGTATGTAGGAGAAGCTGCACCTTCAGTGTGACCAGGTGAAGTCCCAGCCCCCTCAGGAAGGGGACTGAGCACAATCTTTTTCTGCCTAGAGTTTGTCCCCTTTTGGCTCAGTCGTGAGCTCTTTATCTTTCTCAGACTTCTCTGTGAGGCGTTGTGCTTTGGGGAGACCATTCACAGCATGGATTCTACTTTGTTTCTCACTCAGGCCATGGAAAGTAAACTACTTGTTGGAGGAAAAAATATAGTAGATCATACAAATGAACAGCAGAAAATACTGGAACAGAAACGGCAGGAAATTGCAGAGCAGGTAACCTGGCATTCTTTCTTGGGGAGAGTAGGGTGGGCTAAGGTACATTTGTGTCACTTTACAAATACCTCTGGTATGAGTTGTGTCAGCTTCATGCTAACTGGAGACTGATTGGGAGCAGCCAGCCCCATGTTCTCCTACAGATAGTCTCTAGGGCAAGCTGATGGATTCTGTAATATTGCTCAGAAACGTCGAGAAAGAGAAATCCAGCAACAGATGGAAAGTCGAGATGAGGAGACCTTGGAACTTAAAGAGACGTACAGCTCAYTGCAGCAAGAGGTGGACATCAAGACCAAAAAACTCAAAAAGGTAGGAAAGGAACAAGGCCAAATCAAGACACCTTGAGACCTAGGGTAAGRGGGACCTGGTTCATTGATTGGGCCCTCCTCACCTGCCTCTTCCCCTGGTTCCAGCTCTTCTCCAAGCTTCAGGCAGTGAAGGCCGAGATCCACGACCTTCAAGAAGAGCACATCAAGGAGCGCCAGGAGCTGGAGCAGACGCAGAACGAGCTCACCCGGGAGCTGAAGCTCAAGTAAGTGCAGGAYGTTCCATGGTACCCTGCCCTTGCTGGCCAGTGGCATTGTCTGTCAAGTAGGAAACATCTTTGAGGACAGGTCCTTGCCCACTTCTCACCAGCTCATCTTCTGCCACCTTCCTCTCTTCTGCTTATTCCTGAGAAAGTCCCTGTCCATCTCTGGGTCCATGTTCTTTTCCGTCCTACTTTATTTATTTATTTTTGGTACTTGAGATTTAACTGAGGGGCACTTAACCACTAAGCCACATCCCTAGCCCTTTTTATTTTTTGAGACAGGGTATCACTAAGTGCCGAGGCTGGCCGTGAACTTATGATCCTCCTGCCTCAGCTTCCCAAGCTGCTGGAATTACAGGTGTGCACCACCACACCCCACTTGTTTCTTTGATGTATTTCCTAAGCATTTGTCAGGCAGAAACTCTTCTCAGGAATGATTTTCCTCCTCTTGTGTTAAGGGACTGAAATCTGTTCAGTCTTCTCTTTACTCTGGTCATTTAAAATAGGCACTTTTCTTCTCATCCTCTTCCTCCCTATCCTGTTTTGAGTCACCCCCCTTATATCAGAGAAGACATTCGGCCTTTGTTTTTTAGGGATTGGCTAACTTCACTTAGCCTAATCTGCTTTAATGCCTTCCATTTCCCTGCAAATGCCATGATCTTGTTATTTTTTAGTGCTGAGTAATATTCCATTGTGTATAAATGCCACATTTTTTTTTTTATCCATTCATCCATTGAAGGGCATCTAGGTTGGTTCCACAGTCTAGCTATTGTGAATCGTGCTGCTATAAACATTGATGTGGCTGTATCCCTGTAGTATGCTCTTTTTAAGTCTTTTGGGTATAGTCCGAGAAGGGGAATAGCTGGGTCAAATGGTGGTTCCATTCCCAGCTTTCCAAGGAATCTCCATACTGCTTTCCAAATTGGCTGCACCAATTTGCAGTCCCACCAGCAATGTATGAGTGTACCTTTTTCTGTGCATCCTCGCCAACACTTGTTGTTTGACTTCATAATGGCTGCCATTCTGGGAAGAGAGGTGGGAGGGAAAGGGAGGGAGAAGGGGAATTGCACAGAAGATGGAAAGAGACCCTCATAGTTATACAGATTACATGTATGATGATGTGAGGGGGGAAAAAAAAAGAAGTGTGTCACATTAGATTGGGTAGAGAGAAGTGATGGGAGGGGAGGGGAGGGGAAGGGGGGATAGGAAGGGCAGCAGAATGAAATAGACACTAGTATTGCTGAATGTATATACGTGACTGCATAACCAATGTGATTCTGCAACCTGTACACTCAGAAAAATGAGAAATTATACCCATTTGATTCAAATGTATGATGTGTCAAGATCATGTACTGTCATGTGTAACTAATTAAAACAAATTTAAAAAAAGAGGAAAAAAATAGGCACTTTTCTAGTTTGGGCAACAAATTGTGGGACTGAACGAAGGCCATTTAATTTCTAATCTATGTTCATCAATGACTTTGCTTAGCAGCCTCAGGGGCCCCCTTTTGATGTGTGCACATGTGGTGGTGGGGATTGGACCCAGGGTCTTGCGATGCGAGGCAGGATTCTAGCACTCACTCATATCCTCRGCTCTATTCGTTTTATTTTGCTAATTTGTGCAGGCTGGCCTCAAATTTATAGTTGTCCTGCCTCTGCCTTCTGAGTAGTTGGGATTATGGGCAAGTACTACTACTCCCCGCCTCTAGTGGCCCTCTTAAAATTATTTTCAGTAGGAAATGTTTAGGGGCTGGGGATGTGGCTCAAGCGGTAGCGTGCTCGCCTGGCATGCGTGTGGCCCGGGTTCGATCCTCAGCACCACATACAAACAAAGATGTTGTGTCCGCCAAATACTAAAAAATAAATATTAAAATTCTCTCTCTCTCTCTCTCCCACTCTCTCCCTCTCTCTCACTCTTTCAAAAAAAAAAAGGAAATGTTCACCCCAGGATAGCCCAGAATAGCCCAGGTGTCACCTCCCTCTTCAGTCTGTTCACATCCTCATGCTGTTCCTCCTCAGGCAGAAGGGACAGACCACTCTTAGCACCTGTCAAACCTGAGTGCAAGGCTAGGACCAGGTGTCATTCATGGCTGTGTCTCAGCTCCATGTACAATGTTAGTCTCGTAGTACCTAAGTAACTGTTTGCTGAGTGACTTGACTCGGTTATCTAATTACTCAGTGGCACCAGATGCCAGTATTCTGAGTGTGTGTGTATGTGTGTTTGTGTGCATGCACATGTTTACATATGTGTTTGAATGCAGGGTCTCTTTATGTTGCCCAGGCTGGGATCCTGGGCTCAACTGATCCTCCTGCCACATCCTTCCAAGTAGCTGGGACTACAGACATGTGTCACCACACTTGCTCTGTTCTTCATCTGTGTTTATCTATGTGTGTTCTCACAGGCATCTTATTATAGAAAACTTTATCCCTCTGGAGGAAAAAAGTAAAATTATGAATAGATCCTTCTTTGATGAAGAGGAAGATCATTGGAAGTTACACCCTATAACCAGACTGGAGTAAGTCACTCTTGATGTTAAGTAGACCTACAAGTGGGGAGGAAACAGAATGTTGATAAACTGCACTGGGCCAAAGGGATGTAGGGAGAACAGAGTTTGATTTATTTAAACTCAGAATCAATTACACTTCTGACTTCGAGGCTGCCATTGGGCCATTAGGTAAAGGTTGGGTGATATTAGCATGTTATTACGAATTGGAGGACTAACACCTTTCCCAGGTTCCTGAATTTCCATTTACCCTGTCAAATGAGGTATGCTCGGCCACATGATCAACAGTACAGAGATGCTACCTTGTGTGTCAGTCTGAGCCTGGTTCTGTGAGGGAGGTGGGAGAGATCCCCCCAGGATGCAGGGGTCAGGAGTGCTGATGGCTGTGCTTTGTGTCTGCTGTTTAAGAACTGGATGATGCTGACTAGCATCCCTCCCAGCTTAAAAGATTCCTGATGTGCACATCTGGAGCACACAGCAATCCAAGCAGAAAACAGAAGCAGCTGCTGCCCACTGTAGTTAGCCTGCAGTCCTGGGAATTACCACTTCAGGTTCTGTCTGGTTCAGGCTTCTGAGTGCTTGTTCCACAGGACCAAACCTGGGCTCTGGGTCACACTTCAGCCAGGGCCTTAACCACTGCAGTCCCTTTGCAGGAATCAGCAGATGATGAAGCGGCCAGTCTCTGCGGTGGGATACAAGAGACCATTGAGCCAACATGCAAGAATGTCCATGATGATTCGTCCAGAGGCCCGATACAGGGTGAGAAGATTGTTCTTGGGTTTTTTTCCTCCATTTTAGAGTAATTTAGGTTTGAGTAAACCCTCAGGCACCATTCGGCAAAGTCACAGAGTTTGTATCTTGACTTGCCAGAGATATTGAGGACTTTTATAATAATTATAACAAGTAACACGTGAATATAATAACTAATGAATAATAAATGGAAAGGTACAGTGAGGCTTAGAAAATCAGGGTAGGTAGGTAAGGAAGGGTGTATAAACATCCTGTCCATAGTGGCCAGTAAACATTAGCAGGAAGCTTCAGAATGAGTCTGTGGGAACATTGGAAAGAATACAGATGTCTCCTTGACAGGACATGGGTCTGTGCTGAAGAACTTCTAGAACTTTCTTTTATCATATGTGTCAGTCATGAGGTTGGTTAAAATGACATAAATGAGGACTGTTTTATATTTTACAATTAAAATACACATAGATCTGGTGTTTATTATACTTGCTGTTGCTGGGCCATCTCTGTCTTCTGTGTGAGTTCTCCCATCCACTCTTTGCAGACAATCTGTTGCTCAACTTCAGATAGTTGGTAATGGACAGAATGGGAGACACAATATATTGTTTTGTTATGAAACAATTTAAACTGAAAGTTTATATATGAATCAAAAGTTTATATAATATACATGAAAAAGTAAACTGGTTATCTCTAGTTAGTGGAAGTGTGCCTAATTTAAATTTTCATTTTGCTTATCTGTATTTTGTAACTATCAATAGGAAAATTCCATTATTTTTTATAATGAAAGATTTTAATTTAAAATTGTAAAAATGTTTTTGCATTTCCCTTGGAGCCAGAGCAAATATCTCTTGCCAGAGATATTGGGATTTAGTTGACTCCTGTGATGCTATACTTCTTGGCACTGAGTTACTCACAAATGCAAAAATGTTTATTAGTCACTCCACTCCCCATACTGGAAATTGCACCCAGGGATGCTCCACCATTGAGCTACACTCTAAGCCCTTTTTAAATTTTTTTACTTTGAGAAGGGGTTTCACTAAGTTGCCAAGGCTGACCTTGAACTTGTGATCATCCTGCCTTCTGAGTACTGGGATTATAGGAGTGCATCACAGAGCCCGGCTAAGTGGAGTTTTATACAGTAGAAGATAAGAGTGTCAGAATCCTCAGGAGCATTTTCTAGAAGTTTCCGATGATGCATATCTTCCTAGGTTTTTCATATTTTAAGCCAAGTATATGATATTAAAATCCACAAATCGGCTGGGCACAGTGGCACAAAGTGTAATCCCAGCAGCTCGGGAGGCTGAGGCAGGAGGATCTCACATTCAAAGCCAGCCTTAGCAACTTAGCAAAACCCTGTCTCAGAATAAAAAAATAAAAAGGACTGGAGATGGCTCAGTGGTTAAATGCACCTGGGTTCAATCCCTGGCATACCCCCTAAAAAAATCCACAAATCAAATATATGAAATTCCAGGGGGCCACCCTGGCCCAAAGGTAGAATTTAAAGCAGTGACTCTCAGATGTTTTTAGCATAAAATCAACAGAAATTTTATGCACTACTAAATATCTAAAACCAGTGAATGGAGCCACTCCCTGTTCTCACCTTCTCCCTTCAGTGGCCCTTCCTGCCCTCTCTGGAGCCCTGGGATGGACTCCATCAACTGGGAGGAATCAGAGAAAAAGATGGAATGTGTGATCATGGGTGCTTCTCCTTCTATAAATTCGTCTCAGGAGGTAGGAAAGGCTCGCCACCWGATATCAAGTAGTCAATCTATAAGGCCAGTTATGAGGCAGGATTTTGTTAAATTGCTGAGGCTGACCTCAAACTTAAGATCCTCTGGCCTTAGCCTCCTGAGTCTCTGGGATTACAGGCATGTGCCAATGCACCTGACGCCCCAACAGTTTTTTTTTAAATGTAGTCACAAGCATCTTGGTGCAGTAGTGCATATCAGTAATCCCAGTGACTTGGGAGGCTGAGGCAGGAGGATTGCAAGTTCAGACCAGCCTTGGCAATTTAGTGAGACCCTCAGCAATTTATCAAGACCCTGTCTCAAAATTTAAAAAATCATAATAATAAAAGGACTGGAGATGTAGCTCAGTGGTAAAACACCCCTGGATCAATCCCCAGTACCTGCCCCCCCAATAAAAACCACATGAGGTTACAAGTATATACACTGTCATGAACACCCTCCTCACCCACCTTATGACTCTTTGATGACAACTATTTTCTTCTTTACTTCTTTTTATATTTTCAAATTATATGTAATAAATAGGTTTTAGTGATTTTTCTGATTATTTCCCTTAGGGTATTATTTGCAATCCTTTTTAAGTATTTTTTTTAGTTATACATGGCACAATATCTTTATTTTGTTTGTTTATTTTTATGTGGTGCTGAGGATCGAACCCAGTGCCTTGCATATGCGAGGCAAGCATTCTATCATTGAGCCACAAACCTAGTCCTCATTTGCAACACTACCAGGAAAAAAGTTATAAAACTATATAACTATTCCAGCTAGACTCTTAGTAGGCTCTGAATGACAAGCAGTTTACAGGTGTGGCATAGGTTGCTTGACTCCTGATTGGAGGCCAACCTAGCTGGTGATGGCTGTGCTTCTTCTGCAGGCAGAAAATATTGTGCTCTTAGAGCTGGACATGCCCAGCCGGACCACCAGAGACTATGAGGGTCCAGCCATTGCCCCCAAGGTCCAGGCTGCACTGGATGCAGCTCTGCAGGATGAAGATGAGATACAGGTGGATGCATCATCCTTTGAAAGCACTGCAAATAAGAAATCCAAGGCCAGGTGAGTGGCTTTTAGTGACCTGTGTTTGAAACAAGAACATTTGATCAAGGACAAACCAAGTAGAGGGCAGTAAGAGTGCTTGTTTATCATGGAGGGCTTTATAGAACACACTAGAAATTATTGCCATATTGTTTCTGTTTGTTTATTCCACAAATATTTACAGTTGAGACACTATGCCAGGTGAACTGAATACCAGAATACCTAACCACCTAGTCCCTGCCTGTGAAGGAGCACATGCTCTGGTGAAGTGAGGTCAGTTCTTTAGTTCCTACCAAGTGCCAGGTAGTTCTTTACAAAGATTCTCTTGATTTCCTTAAAAAAAAAAAAAATATATATATATATATATATATATATATATATATATATATATATATATATATATATATATATATATATATATATATATATATATATATATATATATATATGACCTTTAGTCCCATTTTACTGAGAAAATTGAAACCTAGAATTTTTAAGAAAGTAGCCAGGTCCAAGGCAACCCAGCAAGTAAGTGGCAGAACCTGAGTTCAAATCTATGTGTCCCTTAGTTCACAGCTCAGACTCTGACCCTGTATGCAGGCTATGTGTGAAATAAGAATTCTATTTTAATAAATTCCACATTAGAAATTTAAGGAAAACAACTAGGTGGAAAACCAAAAGTGGAAGGAATTCTCCCTGGCAAGTTAATATTTTTCTTGAGACGGGGTCTTGCTATGTTACCCAGGCTAGTCATAAACTCCTGGGCTCCAGTGATCCTCTTGTCAGCCTCCTGAGTATCTGTGGCTATAGGTACATGCCACCATGCCCAGCTTAATACCTTTTTACCAATTGGGAGAGGATGGTCAACTTTTGATTTTAACAGAAGATTTGCCAAGCATCAGCATCCCTTCCCTCAGGTTTCACACCTCTGTTGGCAGGCCATGTTGGTTGTGCACAGAGGGTGGTTTTTGTAGAAAGTATCCTGACTTCAGACCACTGAGGGGAAGCCACCTTGAGATATGTGTGGTACTTGGAGACATGTGATATAAACATATGCTTGGATTTTACAGGCCCAAGAGTGGAAGGAAGTCGGGATCCTCCTCCTCCTCCTCCTCAGGAACCCCTGCATCTCAACTGTATCCACAGTCTCGGGGGCTGGTTCCCAAGTAAGGCCAGTGCCTCCTCTCCCAGGGCGTGACAGCAGCATTGCCTTCTGAGAAAAGAGACGAGCACAAAGCTGCAGAGAGGACTTGAGCCAAACTCAGAACTGTTCCCCTGAGGAGAAGCGATGGCCTCTTTGCAGAGTAACCAACTTAATCTGGTTGAATGTGCTAGTCCTAATCTGGCACTCAGCTTCTCTGGGAAATGTTCTTTAATTAGCATCTCAGAAATGCATGGGTAAGGTAAAGTGCGATAGTCGAAGTGGACAGCAAGAGAATGACCATGACCTTGCTTCACTTCTCCCCCTCCTCCTTCTTCCCGGCCCTCTCTCCCTCTCCCCTCTCCTTTTTGAGCCTGTTCTTCACATTGGGTTCCCTTCTTCTTGAACAATAGGGCAGAGTCAGGAGTCCCCTTAGCAGGACCATGTCTTTGGAGCCTCAGGATAAAATAACAACAAGGTTGAAAAGTGAAAGTCCTAAAACTTGAGTAGGTGCCTGTTCTTATAGGGAAAAAAACAAGAAATCTCATTTGGACCCAAGCCCCAGGAGGTGCGATCAGTAATCTTGCTTCCATGCCCCTCAGTAAGAAGTAGAGCTGCCTTTGGGGTCTGCTGAATGAGGACGTCTCTTCCAGTGTCTGCTCCTGAAGGATTCAATGTCAGAAGCAATAGAAATAACATTCCCTCTGTCTCCTTGGAGAGTTTAGGGAAACAGCTTCTTTAGAACCTCAAAACCATGACGATCCTGTCAAAGACCTAGATCTGTAAGCTGATGCCACGTCCTTCCACCTTGTCACATTACTCTTCACTTGTCCCCATCTTTCCCATGCATGCATCCTCTGAGTGTCCTTCTGTAGGGCCATCCTCCACCTCAGGAGCGTGTTCTGCCGTGAGCGTGTTTTGTGGGAGAGGCTCTGTCTTCTCTGATGGGACTAGCATTGGAGAAAGGTGGCACTTTTGGCACTTTAGTGAATTCCCCATTTTGTTCTATATTGGCCAAGAAAGCAGGAGAGTGAGTAGGCAGATGTAGAGATGGAGACACAAGACCCGGACAGTGGCGAGGGAAGACATACAGAGAGGCACAGGGTCCTGCCTGCCTTCAGCAGGGAGTGCACCCAATCCTGGCACTGCGGCTCCTCCTGGGCAGAGCTTAAGATGCTGGCGAGGAGCGGCTTGTGCCTGAACGGCTCAGAGGAGAGAGTTCAGAATTCCCGTTTACATAGACTGGTTTGGTTTGTAAGTTTTAGTTCTTCCTATTATTGAAGTTCAGAGTTTTGTTTTATGTTGGTCACTAGGTGAATGTTACTCATTTCCCCTCAAGAGCAGCTTGTGTGGGTGTGTGAGCGTGGCGGTGCCCATGAGTGTGTCTGTGTGTGTCTAAAGAGAGACAGAGACCAAGAACTTGCCCAGTTTTAGAAATACACTAATGTGCAGTTATTGCCTTTTGTCTGTGTTAAAGGCCCATTGAATGACTAATCCAGGCTGAAAGCACTCCCACGTGGGTGTCTGAGTCCATGAGCCAAGCCTGAGGGGACAGTATGAGTCCCCAGGTCTGCCGCCCTGGCGCATCTTGCTGGCACGGTGCCTCAGGAATATGGCAACCGAGGTGGGCCTTGAGTTATGTTTTAACTCAGCTGCTCAGTTCCCAGGGCACATTTCTGGATCAGACCCCATGGGGATTAGGAGGTACCAAGTGCAATGTCTTCACATTCTGCAAAATGGAGGTATCTTTTTTTTGCAGCCTCTCTCCTTTTTAGGAACCATTCTTTCTGAACCCAGGGCCCTGTTCAGAAGTTCCCAGAACATAATGGGTCCTTCCCTCATTTTTCCTGCTTCTTTCTTATTTACTAAGATTTTCCTGGTTTGAATAAGAACCAGGTGATGAGGTGTGTGGCCCAAGATGGTTGTCTGCTGGCGACGCGTGTCTCTCTCTCACCACATTTCCTAAAAGCTATTCTGAATTCTGTAGGCTGAAAATTTATGTTAAAAAATCTGAGAATTGGTAACTGCAGATAACAGTGTACCTTAATACTGACGTTCGAGGTAGTGATCGTGACCAAGGGTGGTTAAGTGATACGTAGAACTTTTCCAAGAAGGCAGAAGAAAAAAGCCGAGTTGACAGGCTTGATTATTAAAACAAGCTCGCTTTGTGCTCAGCTGTGTCGTGTGGTGGTCTGTGGAAACTAAGTGAAAGGACACTCACTTAGAGATGAAGCTGTCCCTTTCCAAGCAGTCTCTGGTGCTTTTCTTCTCTCAGAATGAAGAGAATAAACATTTGAATAAAAGCAGATGGCAAAATGACTTGCTGCCACCGGAATGCTGCTGCTTTGGGTTGTGAATTGAGCCCGACGTGTGGAGGACATACCAGGTCCACTAAGGGACCAGGTTTTCATGTCTGAACTTATGCTATTATGTTCCAGGACAGCACAGGGCCTTTGTACCAGCGGCAGCTAGTGAAGTCTGAAAGCAGCTCTTGAACAGGATCTAGGAAGACCATCTGGGAGGAGGAGTTTGAGACTGTGTATGCGACCCTCACCAGACCCCCTTTTGCTCTAATCAGCAGAATGTATCTGACTTCATTATTTTTTAAAGTCACTCGTCTCCCAGACCCCTGGATTCAGAACCCAAGGCCACAAATCATAGGCATGAAGCACTTTCTTAAGACTCTGATGCAAGGTTGAATTGTTCCCGTCTAGGCCTGCATGCTGCTTGACCTGTTCCACCCACACCTCCATGACCAAGGGCGCCAGAGTGTTCTGCAGCTCAGGCACGGGCTGCTCTTGGCTTTTTCCGTCTGACTCTTGTAAGTCCTCCTTCACTGAATGTAGACTTGTTGCCAAGTTTCAGAGAAGTGTCGATTCCCTGTTAACGTGAGACATCAGTGCTGCCTCACATTTCCCACTTCAAGTCAAGGCTTACTGTGAACAGCCTTGGATCATCTGAATATCATCAGCGGACAAAATTGGGGCTATTAAAGAACTCTAAAAGCCATACTGAACATGCTCAGAGGGAACTTGATGAGAATGGCGGGCCTGGCCATTGTCTGTCGTGCAGGGCTTTGTCCTATGTTGTTCAGAAATCTGGCACCTCTCTCCCTGCCCTTGTTTCTTGAATGAAATGCTTTTGGGGTTATTTATGAAAGCAGTGATCCTGGGCAGGCAGCAGGCGGTGGGCTTTATGGCTCTTTGGAGTTACTATGGATCTTGACCTTCTCTGGCTACCTTTAGACAAAGAATATGCCAATACTTGGGGCTCTGAGTTTTACAGTTGATATTTATTTGTATCATCTCTTTGTCTAGGAATGTAAAAGTGATTCTAAACTAAGATGTGTAATAAAAATCAGATTTATTGTACCTACTAAAAGTTGTCCTCGTTAATTACCTAGTGCTTTTGAAAATGACATTCCTGAGTTGACATACTGCCATTTTCTTTTAATTGTTTTAATTGTTCTAGTTAAAGGAGGGTAGGAGTGGAAAATGAAGAATGAGTTGCAATGCTAGCATTTTAAAATGTAGCAGAAAATGAAAGGGACATAACATGAAGAGGGACAGGGCTGGTGGTGTGTGCAGTGGTGCTCGCTCAGCACGCCTGCAGCCCTGGCTTCCTCCTCTGCACCCAGAAACAAACCACCCCCTCAGGTCTGGGCCACAGGGATGAAATTTGTTTTCACCTTGTGTTTTGCTTTTTAAATTCCTTTAAATTTATTTATTTATTGATTTATTGATTGATTGATTGATTGGTACTGGGGATTGAACTCAGGGACACTTGACCACTGAGCCACATCCCCAGCCCTATTTTGTATTTTATTTAGAGACAGGGTCTTACTGGGTTACTTAGGTCCTCGCTAAGTTGCAGAGGCTGGTCTCAAACTTGTGATCCCTCTGCCTCAGCCTTCAGAGTCACCGGGATTATAACCATGCACCACCATGCCTGCCTTCCATGTCTTTATCTTAACACAAAACTATTTCATGTTTTCCATCAGGAAAAAAAAAAAAAGAATTAACAGAAATGGGCCACATGTTGGTTTATGGTTTCTCATACTCTTCGGGTCTGGTCTGCTGGGGTGCACTGCAGGAGTAGTGAGGTTGGACTGAGTAGAAGCACCAATTCTGGAATTTGACTGCTGGCCTTGCCAGTGCTTGCTAACTTTATGACTATAAGGAATTGAATTTACCCCTCTCTACCCTGGGGACCTTATCTATCAAGTGGGGAGATAATTCCTACCTTACAAGGGCACTTCAAGGATTAACAGTACATCTAAAGCAACAAGCATGGTGTACGCACTAGAGCAGGCATTGAATAGGGTGGTCAGTGTGGTGATAAGACCCTTTGTTGAGAAGATGCCATGAAGAACTTGTATCCCAAGAAACTAGAAGTCAGTATTGGGAATGTCATCTTTAGAAAACCCTAAAGAAAAGCAGCTAACCAATTAACAAATGTTGAGTATGTACTGTGTGCCAAGCCGTTCTAGGCACTGGGTATACTGATGTATTAGCAACATGATTCCTGCCTGCACGGAGCTGCACTGTAAGGGGCAAGAATGGGGAGTAAATGTTGACTAAATGCACATACACATGTAAGTATGAATTGTAATAAATCTCATGAAGTAATATTATAGAACATAATAGTGGGGACCTAATTTATTTAATTAATTTATTTAGGGTACTGGGGATTTAGCCTAGGTGTAATTTACCACTGAGCTATATCCATAGCTCTTTTTATTTTTTTATTTTGAGACAGGGTCTCACTAAGTTGCTTAGGGCCTTGCAGAGTTCTTGAGGCTGGCCTCAAATTTGTGATCCTCCCTGCCTCAGCCTTCCAAGCCACTGGGATTAAAGGCATGTGCTACTGCAGTGGATATGGACCTAATTTAGAGAGGGAAGGTATATAAAGGTAAGACTTTCTGAAGAAATGGTATTTATGGTGAGATCTAGAGGACTGGAGGGGGGTTAGCTGGTTGCTCTCAGAGGAGAGGAGGGAATGGAATTTGCAAAGAGATGGGGAACAGCATTTTTAAAGTCCTCATAGAGTCTTTTTGTTTTAATTTTTTGACAATGCTGGGGATCAAACCCATGACCTCTTATGTACAAGGCAAACACTACAATAAACTGTACCTCCAGTCCCCTGCAGGCCTTTTTTACCCTCACTAGTGGGAAATTCCTGCCCAGAGAACAGCTGTAGAAAAAATTATAGTATAAGATTAAAAAAAAAAAAAACCAATAAGAAATTTAAGGGCTGGGGAGATAGCTCAGTTGGTAGAGTGCTTGCCTAGCATGCACAAGGTCCTGAGTTCAATCCCCAGCACCACACACAAAAAAGAAAGAAAGAAATTTAAAGAACACAAAGAGGGCAATGGCTTTAGACAAACATTCTTATGTTTCTTCATAAGGTGTCCTTCAACCATGTGTAATGTCCCTTTACCCTCCCCCTACTTCTGTTGAAAAAGAATTAAAAAAATGATAGCTTAAGCTGGGCACAGTGGTGCACGCCTGTAATTCCAGCATCTCGGGAGGCTGAGGCAGAAGGATCACAAATTCAAGGCCAGCCTTAGCAACTTAGTGAGGCCCTAAGCATCTTAGTGAGACCCTGTCTTAAAATACAACATAAAAAGGGCTGGGGATGTGGCTCAGTGGTAGAGCACCCCTGGGTTAAATCCCCAGTAACAACAACAACATAGCTTGGCTTAGCCTAAGTCATTATTAGTTTAAAATAGCTTAGAATCCATTATCCTGAAAGCAAGAGTTCAAAGGGTGATTTAAAGAATTATGTGTTCTTGAAAATGTCAGAATCTCAGGGTTAGGCCAGGGACTAATTCATCAGGAGAGATACAGGACAGGACATCCAGGCAACTTGTAAATTCCTGCCCACTCAATTTTGTTCTCATCTTCTAGATTATTATTATTTTTTTAAAAAACTGAGAATTAGTAAATCTTGGAAACTATTTTGAACTTCAGACTGATAATATTATCTTAGCCTCTGGGTTTTGGCAGGCCCTCTTAGACTAGAGTTGCCATCTAATTATAAAGTTTTACCCTGAGAACCTGGTCTCCAAGGACCATGTGGTGGTCACATCTGCCAGCTTGGTTGTCAGTGGCATTTGTGAAGCATATAACCATGGCTCTTGCAGCTGCTCCTATTCAGCCTTGGTTTCTATCACTAGTCTTGTGGTTAACCGGTCTCTGGGTGCATCAGTTAGGTGAGCCAACTGGGACTTGCTGTTGGGGTGGGGAGTGGGCAGAGCGAAAGGACACTCGCTGCATCTGGGCACTTGTTGAAAGCTCATAGGCACTTACTGAGAGCCCATCATGCACCAGGGATCTTGTTCTCACTGGAGATAGGGAGAGGAGTAGGCTATATAGCCCTTTTGAGGAGAAAAGCAGAAATACAAAGGCAGTGATTCAGGACCGTTGGTACCTCAGAGAAGGCCTCCCCATCTCCTCACCACTGTTCCAGGCCTCCAAGGTTGGGCTACACAGGCTTCCACTGGGTTCCTGGCCAGCACCTTCACCTGCACTGTGCCTTCTGCCTGAAACACTTCTGCTTGACTAACTCCTACTTATTTGTCAGGAACCACTTTAAAATCAGCTCCTCAGAGAACCCCTCCCCAGTTAACTATTCTGTTTTCTCCCCTTCTCCACCTGGCTATATGGCTAAAACCCCTTTCCCCAGTTTGCAATTATATCTGTCTCTGCCACATTCCCTGAGGGCATGATCTATTGTCTTCTGGAGCCTAGAATGTAGATGAGTTGGATGGTTGGCTGGGTGCTGTTCTGCTAGGGCTCAGAACAGTGTCAGAGGAAGGAGCCCAGTGCCTGGAGAGGTGGAGGAAAGTTTTGCAGAGAAGGAAGAGTAACCTACTTGGGAAGGAGGGAAGAGTGTGCCAGATCAAGGGAACAACCTGAACGGTGCACATGTGAGTCCTGGACTGGAGAATGGAGAACAGAGCTGGGAAGGGTCTGACTCCATGGCACTTGTCCTAGATAAGAGACAGCACTGGAAGGCTTTGTGTTTGTGTGTGGGGCGGGGTGAAGCACAGCCCTCTTTACACTTTGAGATAATAGAAAACAGTTTCACTAAGTGTCTGCTTTGAGTTTGCCTGCTGTTCACACAGGTTTTCTTGACTCACTTGGCAAATTCTAGTCTGCCAGGGTTTTTTTGTGGCATAGCTCACTCTCTGAGGAATTCCAAGGGGCACTTCAGCTTGACTCCAAGGTCTCAGTTCCCTAGGAATGAGCCCCAGGCCTCTTCAGAGTAGCAGGCTGGAAGGTGGTTGCTTTTCTGCATTTGGGAACAATAAAATTCTTCTATTGGTTCTGAAATGCATCTTCCTTGTCTAGGCAAACAAAAGATTTCCATATGCTGTTTATACGGGTTATGGGTAATACAAGGCTTTCCCAAACTCCTGTTCTGATAAGGAATTATCACCATTCGCAAATTAGAAAAGTCAAGGTGAGTAGTGGCACCAATGTGACAGAGGGGGTCCCAGATTTTGGTGAGGTACATGTTAAATGTAGTGATCAGCCTTTTGCTAGATTATCCTAGGGATAATCTAGAAGTGAGAGGAAGCCAGGTTTTGGCATCAGATTCATGTTTTTGGTTTTTTTTTTTGTTTTTTTTTTTTTATACTGGAGATTGAATCCAGGGGTGCTCTAGCCCTTTTTTACTTTTTTTTTTTTAACTTGTGAACCTCCTGCCTCGGCCTCCCGTGTTGCTGGGATTATAGGCATGTGTTACATGTATTCATGTTTTGAGCATCCACTACATAGTGTCCATTGTTATAGGTGTTAGGGAAACAGGGTGAAGTCCTGCTCCAAGGGATGTCACATCCAGTGGTGGAGACAATCATTAACCAAGTCATATGTGCTGTGCCAGGTGGTCAGAGTGCTCTGGAGAAAAACAAGGCAGGTCAGGGGCTAGAGAGTGCCATGCTGGGGGAGTGGCTAGGCTAAACTAAGAGGTCAGGGAAGGCATCTCCAGAGCAGAGGCCTGAGTGAAACAAGGGAACAAGCCTGGCCAACATCTAGTACCTGGAGGAGGTGCCAAGGCCCAGGCAGGGTGGGGGGGAGCGCAAGGGGCATGTGTGCTGAGCGGGTAGTGGGCCTGGATGGGGCCAAAACTGAACTGTCAGGAAATTGTATTTTTAGGCCACTGGAGGATTTTGAGCAGAAGAGGGAGATGTTCTGACAGGAGAGTTCTACATGGATCCTCTGGCTGCTCTGTGGAGGCAGACCATGGGAAGCAAGGTGGAAACCAAGGAGGTGCTATAGTTCAGATGCAAGAAGGTGACTTGGACCAAGATGTGGGGGACAGAAGTGTTTTGTTTGCTGGTAATCAGATGTGAG